AAAAAAAAAAAAACAGTTGCTTGCAACACGTATCACAATTTACTTTCCAAAAATATACTCATCAAAATTAACATACGATAAAGTGCTAACTCCGATTCATATCCATTTTTTAAATATTTATTAACCAATTATTAAAATTAATATTTGACGTGCAACCTATTAGGTTTTATCAAAACAATTCCACTTACTAAACAACATTTACGGTCAAATGAAGCATAGAATCATGTGCATCGTATGTTAGTTACCAGTAAATATAAAATAGAAAGGGTGGTTTAACTTTTGAGGATACAACGTGCATATCTATGTTGATGGATCCTCTAAGTGCTTGCTTGGATACAAATTTTTCTGAAAAAAATCCAATCATTTTTTAACAAATCACTTTTTTTAACTCAATTTTAACTCAACCTCACTATCCTCAATATTATCAATATAATTAAATAAAACCACTCAAAAAATTCTTACACATCACATCGACTTTAATTCACTATTTATCCACTCACATAATTTTAACTAATCATCACTTCACATCATTTATCTCCTACTTTTACACCAAATTAACTTTAATTATTTTATTTTCATTATTTCAATATAAACTCAAACCCATTAACAACTAAGGGTTTGTCTGTTTATAAATTTATCAAATTCATACTCAATTCATACCATCTCCAATATTATTAATATAATTAATTATATCAAACAATCATTCTTATACATCACATCAATTTTAATTCACTATTCATACATTCACATATTTTTAGCTAACCATCACTTCACATCATCTTTGTCCTACTTTTACAACAAATCAACTTTAACTATTTTATTTTAAATATTATTTATTATAACCTCAAAATCACACTACTAACTAAACATCCCAATTTTTTCAATATTAAATCTGGTTAACAATACAACTCATATTGAGTACCACTTTTTTCAAAATTAACCATACCAAACAAAAAAGTCCGAACAAAATCAAAACCAAAACATTTTATATCTAAGCAAGAGCATTTCTACAAAACTTAGTCTCATAAATGTAAGGTCATTATCAAACTTTATAGCATTACCAAGAAACATAGAATAAAACCAAATCAGCAAAAAAAGTACAAACCTGAAAACCACTATATACCAAGTTATAGGTTATGAATTCACAAAATAAGATGACAATTAGGAAAAAAAACATCTTCGTGGCCTGCGAGCACGTAATTTATGTACTGGGAACTTCGTATTAAAACCTCATGTTTGATTAACCTATATCTTAACAGTTTAACTTCTAAGGGAAAAGTTAAAATGAGATTTTTTGGCAGTAAGTATACACGTGACAGTAGGTATAATGTACTTTCCCGTACTGCAAAACAGGGCCTAAGTTTTTGCAATTAGAAGGAATATAAAATTTCACAACTGATCCACGTGCTAATAATAACAGCATGAATACGATGGAACTTAATCAGATTAAGGTTGTGATCATGTCAGGTTTGGCATTAAGATAGTCATGCTCTTGTTCACACAACATTTGAACATTTGCAAACTCATTTTTTAAAATCTGGTATGACATGTTTGGATGTATTTAACTACAATCTTATTTTAGAAGAGATGACCCTCCACAAAGTGTTCAAATAAAGAATACGTGATTATTGGATCATATTATTCTTAGACAATATTATGAACTTTTTTTTTTTCTTTTAACTTTAGCTAGCTTGTTTTTAAAAAATAAACTTCGCAGCTCGTTTGGTTACGTACTGATATTTCTCCAGTATGTCTGTTATTTTCTAGATCATAGATTATCAGCAACCAAACATTGTTAGGATTTAAAAGTCATAGTAACCTGATTCAAAATATTTGAAACTTGTGGAAGATAAAATAATAACATAACTTTTCAAGAGAATAACAAAATGTAACTGTAGAACATCGAAATTTTAATATTTTATTAATTAATGTCTTTATTTATTTTTGGGACATAAATCCAAGATAAATAAGATATTTAATTAATAAAGTAATTGTTTCTTGCCCACCAAGTCAAATCTTAGGATAAGGAAAGAGATTATATCAAATCTTAGGATAAGGAAAGAGATTATATCAAATCAAGAAGGACAAATCAAATTGATGTCTTCTTTTCCAAGACTTTCTCTCTTACACCTATAAATAAGGCTCTTCTCAATCCCACAAATCACACCTCAAACACCTCAAAAAATATCAAACACATCTCAAATATTAAAGTCTCAAATTCAAGAGCTCTCAATAACCCTTTTGAAGATTTGAACAAGTTCTTGAAGAACCGCCTGAAGTCCATTCAATGAAGAAGAAGGCCAAGAAGAAGAAAAAGAGGCGGCGACTCTTCCTCAAAAGTCAATCCAAGAATATCAACAACGTTCAAGCGACATTCAAGCCGCGATCGTTGAGAAGTCAACCAACATAACGTTTGATCCGAGAAAAAGCTATCAAGCCCTCAAGTCAACGTTATTCAAGTCAAAATCCATCTTTCCAAAAGATCAAAGAAACAAGTTCTCCAAGACATTTTCTTCAATCAATTCAAAGTCTAACATTTAATACGGGAATAAGTCATTCGACCCCCAAATTAATGTTAGAAAAATTCAAGATCAAGCCCCGAAGGAGATTCAATCGTCAAATCCATCTTTGAAGATCTCAAACCCAAATCCATGAAGAGAAGAATCAGAGGAGATAAATAGAGATTGTACTCGCATATCGTTTGATCGAAATATAAATCAAGTTGTATAAAAGTTGTATGTTTTCCATAAAATTTGTTGTTACAAATTTGACACGCCCAGTGGGACTTTCTCTACCTCTCATCTCTTCTCTCCAAATTAAGTTCGAAGATATTAGAAGATGCATGAAAACCTCTTTAAAGAAAATATACATGGGGCCAATGAAGAATGATGTCTTCCGAAGCCATAAAGCATGTGGGCAATTCACATGAAGAGCACCATCAAATATTCAAATGCTCCTTGATATGAACTTAAACTATCTACATATATAATACTCCTTGATATGAGCTTAAACTATCTACATATGCTCCTTGATATGAGTCTAAACTATCTACATATTCAATGCTCTTTGATATGAGCCTAAACTATCTATATATGATTATATTCCAATGCTCCTTGATATGAGCCTAAACTATCTATAAAGCTCCTCGATATGAGTCAAAACTATCCAAATATCCAAATCAAATGCTCCTTGATAAGAGCTTAAATTATCTAGGGTTAATTGCTAAATAAACCTTAACCTTTTTGCGTTTGGCAATTTTATCTCAATCTTTGGGTAATTGCAAGACAATCTCGACCTCAATTTACTTCGTGCAAATTTGGGTGCAGAGTGATTGATTTTAGGGATTTGTTGATCGATTTTGTGTCCAAGTCTTCCATTGACACGGGTATTTATGCCATCCACGTAGCAAGTTGACAATTTCCATGTATTTAATGTAACGCACAAAGCCAAAAATTCCACGTTGATGTAAGCTACCGGTGATGATCTCCTCATTGATCTGGAGTGAACCAGTAAATATGAGCTCCGATCTGTTCGAACCGACTTCAAATCGACCAGTTTTTTTAAGGTCCAACAGGTTTTAGGTTCGACTTCCAATAACTAGATTGAAGTCGAGATTACATTGCAATTACCCAAAGATTCGGATAAAACTGCCAAACGCAAAAAGGTTAAGGTTTATTTAGCAATTAACCCAATTATCTATATGGCTCCTTGACACGAGTATAAAATGTCTACATATCAAGATCTCCTTGACACGAGAATAAAAGGTCTACAAGTCAAATATAAAGCTCCTTGACATGAGTATAAAATGTCTACATATCAAGATCTCTTGACACGAGAATAAAAGGTCTACATATCAAGAACTCCTTGATACGAGTATAAACTATCTACAAATCAAGCCATATGAAGAACTCCTTGATACGAGTATAAACTATCTACAAATCAAGTCAAATGAAGAACTCCTTGATACGAGTTTAATCTATCTACAAATTCAAGTCGAAAACTCCTAGATAAGAGTTTAAACTATCTGCATCTAAAATTTTGAAACTCGTTCACATCTGTCATACAATGTGGCACTTCTTAAGTTCAAATACAAAGCTTCATGGTTTTATTTATATTTTTATAATTTAGGCGGTAATATTGTAAAAATCAACATTTTAATCATTTCAAATGAGGAATAAAAAACTCTATATATGACAACTGTTTGAACATTAGATTATTAACTAAGATAGATGCAACCCTAACTAATTTCCCAAATATTTAAATAGGCACAATTCTTAGTAACACGGAGAAGGGGACAAGTCAAATACATAACCAGGTTCCATAGAATACAAACAACAATATGAGGACATCAGAGAGAATGACAATACAAACATAGGAGTCGAAGTTAATAACTTGATAAGGTGTGCAAACCTGTACATATATTATTCGCCAATCCTGCAAGATCTTCCCAAGTTTACGTCGTTGCCATGCAGTATTAGCACAAAGGAGTTTAAGCAAACTCATTAACAACTGCATTCCATAACAAGTGATTTTACAGGTTTAAGTTCTAAACATTCAAGAGCCAAATAATAATTAATAATAACAATAAACAATCAAGACAAGTGAAACTATTCTATACAAGAAGGAAAGCTAAACATCATGTCATATTGCAAGGGAAACCAATTGATTAAAGGATTCGTTACGTACTGATTACTGTAAAGCTGACTTCTCAAAGTATTATTGCCCTTTTACTTCGTTTTCAATATGCAGAGAATTAGGAATATATCTAAAACTTTACCTGCCCCAGCTGTGAAACAGTTTCGTTCTTCTGTATGTCGTGATTCTTTGCTCCATCAGATAGTAGAGCAGCTTTGCAAACAACACCAAACATGGATTCACGTCCATAAAGTTTCCCATCTTGTACCAGTAGCAACTGTTGATATTTAACCGAATGAGATTCTTTATGGACGCCATTAATTTTATACTAGTACAACAACACTCTTCTAATTCACAACAGTCAATTAAAAATTTTGTATTAAAACAATTAAAAAATCAAAGATAGAAACAACAGTTTTATTATTTTTTAAATGACACCCGTCATCCAGTAAGACTCGCTTATAAGGTAGATATGATTATTTTTTATTTTATATATGTAATACGAATATCAAATCATAGATTGTCAAATTAAGATCAATTTGATACATCATATGACAAATTGATAACAAGTAAAAATATTAAGTTTGAAAATATATTAATCGATTAAGTTAATCAAGTGCTTTATAATATTATTAGAAGTTTCTAGTAGACATGGATAAAAGTCCACGACAACTTCGAATCATAAAAAAATGACAAGTAAATTTTGAATCACTAGAAATTGATATATAGGATTGCGAAGTATCAGAATTTGACAATGAGGCTCGGGAAACTCTGCATTTTTCTACAAGGAGGATCCTTAAAAAATATCATAATAGAAAAACACTAAAATATTGGTTACCATCATAAAGAGAGGCAAAGAAATAAGCATCAGTACATGATATAATATATAGATAACACGAATATTTTATTTTCATTACATATGACAAACACAAAATTTACCATTCATCATTTTCAAGCTACTAATTATCTTCAATTAAAGGACTTTCATCAAATATCAAGTTACAATTGAAAATTTCATCTTTCTTTCACAATTTTCAAAATGAACTATATTAAATGACACCTCAAAGTATACACCAAACTACACAGAGTATCATCTTTGTTAGAGTATGCGCGCACACATGAGAACCATAGAATGTCAAATAACTAAGGATGGACAACGTAGAACTTCTTAATTTATAAGACATGCATAAAACTAAAAAACCTTTAGAGGATGATTGGATATAAAAATTTTTGGTTTTGTTTGGTTTAGTTAGTTTTGAAAAAGTTGGTATGGTTAGTTGTTAGTGGATATATTAAAATAATATTTAAAATTAAATGATTAAAGTTGATTTGATGTAAAGTAAGAGAGAAGAGATTTGAAGTGATGGTTAGTTAAAATTATGTTAGTAGATGAATAGTGAATTAAGGTGATGTGGTGTGAATGATTGATTTTGATATTATTTAATTATATTGATTACATTGATGATAGTGGGTTGAGTCAAAAAAGTGGTTGAGTTAAAAATGTTTGGATTTTTTTGAGATAATTTTGTATCCAAGCATGCTCTTAATACTCCATGGTTGGGTTACTTGTGGATTGAAAAATATCCGCAAAGAATTATAATCACAATCATTGCATTTACCCAAAATGCAAGAAATTTAATCAAAGCATGCTAAATAGTACACACAACAAAATTGTTGAGCATATTGAACTAACAAAATACGTCATAATTCAAATTCAACACGTTATCCAATTTATGATTACGAAAGGCATGACCAGCTCGCCTCATCTCGGGACCATCAACTAAATTGTAGCTTCATCAACATAAATAAGTGAATTATAGCACGATAGCCAAAATCTGCATATCTGTAGGTTGTTTCAATTCGAATCTTATTCGTACAAAGAGAGCACAACAAAAATGGTGCAAAAATGTAGTAGATTTATACTTTGAAGAGAGTTTTGACGTGAGTATGCTCGACTCTTTTCACAAGATCTAAACAATTACATTTCTGTAATGCAAAGCATGTGAATGGGTACAGGTTAGGATGCTGGGGCCTGATAGTGAATATGTTATGTTTACCAAGCCTTATTGAACTCCAATCTCATCTTTCACATGGCTCCTTGACATTATTTATCTTTAAAAAGAAGTAGTTACACAATCGAACCCTGAAAGTTCACAAATATTCCCTAATAACTTTTTTTTATGGGACTTTTAGTTAGAATATTTGCTAGATCACCATTAACACTTCTAACTTTACAGTAGCTGACAAAAGATTTAAAAGTTTTGGGAGGTTAGATCAGCAATACATTATCGTAAAAGATATCAAAAGTGGCATTAAGTATTCAAGCACACCAAAAGTTACATATCCTACTCCATCCCCTTACTCCATCCCCTGATCCCCATATCATCCTACACAAGAAATAATTTTATACCAAATATTATGGGTGTTCAAATCTTATTCCTAACACTTACAAAGCAATTAATTTTCTTTGACTCAGCCATTTTATCCTTCACTCTTAATTCTGAATCTCTCAAATAAACCTTTACACATATTTAATAGCAATGATGGCATCCAATAGTAGTCATATAAATCTCACTTCAATTTGCTCGCAATATTTTGTTCCTTTCTCGTCAAACATAAATATTCCCCATACTAATCATTTTTCATCTCTATTCTTAGAAACCAAAATGAAATCTTCTCGAATCTGGAATCAGATACTAAGGGTGTGTATGTAAAAGAAATAATTTGAGTGAATTAACTCACTTTGAGTTGTTGTTAGTTAACTAAAGTTAATTTAGAAAAAGTGGTATAGTTAGGCTATGTTTGGTAAAACTAGCTGATAAGCTAGCTAATAGCTTATGACTTATACCTGAAAACCTAGTTTATATGATAAAAGTGTTTGGTAAAACTAGCTGATAAGCTAGCTGAAATAAAAAAATTCAACTAGCTTATTTTGAAAAGCTACCTGAATAAGCTTATCAAATAAGCTCGAGGTTTTTTAAAAAACTCGTCATACCAAACGAGACTTATTTGAATATAGGGAGCTTATGGCCTTGTTTGGCGATCAGCGGATAAAAGATAGTGTATAGCAGATTGTACCAGCGGATAGCGGATTATATTAGCTGATTTGATCAGCGTATTGCATTAGCGGTTTTTAAATAAGTGTTTGGTAAATAACTGAAAGCTTATAGCTGTTTGACATTGCAAAATGACCAATAATGACATTTTATTATTTAGGGTGTATTTTTTTAATAATTATATATTAAAGCATTTGATATTCTTTAGTTGGTAATTTATAAATATATTTTTTTTTTTTATAAATTTACTAACACTTGATGAAGTTATGAATTTTACATATAAATTAATCATATGGATGACATATTATTATTTATTAGCACCATAAACCAATGTAGATTGTAAAATAAATAATACATATTAAAAAGTTCCAAGTAAATAATTTTTGTGAATCCTCTATCCCAAAAAGCTTCTCTAATGAGCTTTTTCTAAAATTTGAGTTTTGGACCCAAAAAGCTTATCAAATAAGCTATTTACCAAACATGCTCAATAGCGGATTTGACGGGTCAAACCTCTCAATTAAGTCCAATCCGCTAATTTATCTTCAATCCGCTATCTTCCAAACGGGGCCTATAAGCTAACCAAATAAGCTAAAAGCTATCTTATTTGTCAACCAAACATAGCCTTAGTTGTTAGTGGGATTTTGAGTTTACATTAAAATAATATTTAAATTAAAATAATTAAAATCGGTCTGATGTAGAAGTAGGAGAGAGATGATATGAAGTGATGGTTAGGTAAAATTATGTGAGTGGATGAATAGTGAATTAAAGTTGATATTATATGTAAAAATAATTTATTGTTATTATTTAATATTGATTGTTAATATTTAACTATATTGATAATAGTGAGGATAGTGGGGATGAGTTAAAGTTGAGTTAGATTTTGATATGAATTAATTTGATTTGAAATTTTTCTTTTACAAACATAGCCTAAGAATCTATTGGAATATGAAACACAAACAAATCGAGGGTTGCACCTGGACATAAGCTCTAGCGACCAGATCTGGTTGAAACTTCTGAAAGTCAACCAAAGAGCGCAAAGCACCTTCAAGGACAGTGTCCAAAGAGTATGAGCATACAATTTCTAGATCGTGAAGTAGCTTCTTGAAATAATGAACTGCCTGTTATGAGAAAGATAAGAGAGTCCCGTTAATTTCCAATAATGTAATTTACAATGTCAAAGTGCCTTGAAACTAACCTTTTTCCAGCTCAGTAGTTTAATTGAGCGAGGTGGAGTTGGTGCTGCTGACCTACTGTTTAACGTAGGATCAAAGCCAACAGGTTGACAGCCAGAAGCAGTTGTTTTATCTTCTATTTCATCCTCTAAAGTTTCAGATGCATATGTTTTCCTCAGAAATTCTTCTGATTTAAGCATCTCATCAAGCTCAGTTAGGCAGGAGTTAATATGTTTCTTAGCAAGCTCTAAGCCTTTGCCTTGAGGTTTCCTCATGCACGTCAACGCATGGTAAAAGTGCTGAGCACAAATAAAAGTATCCCAAATGTTAAAATGGAAAACTGATGGCCATCACACACTCGGTCATTCCTACATGGATTTCTAAACGGTGAGATTGGCATCTAACAAGAGATTAATTTATTCTTATGATTGGCATCTAACAAGAGATTAATTTATTCTTATGTAATCATCTAGATCACCGCAATCATCATATTACTCAAAGTATTTGGATTGGAATCCGTGCACTCGTCTTTTCGAAATGAGGTGCAAAAAAGCAAATGGCAGTATATAACAAAAAATGCAAGGTTTATAAAATAAGCATGCAAAAAGTCATTATTAATGGATATAAATTGAAGAAAATGAGATTTATAACATATACATGCATCAAATCATACTACAGAGATTCATAATCAAAGAGTACAAAGAAATGGATGACCTGATTCATTCATCTCTTCGTACTACTCATTACTTAATAGATTTTGAATCCTAAAAATGTAGCATTATCTAATAACCATCGCCAATAATCTCATCAAATCCATGTTCTCTCGTCCTCAACATATCCATCAATATTCTCATGATCACTTCCCCTGTTCTCTTATTGCTTTTGTATGGGGCTCAAATTTAAAAAGGTTCACTGTCTAATAGTCCCCAGAAGACTTAGCCCAAACTCTTACTTTATGAAGTCCCAGGATTAGACCCATCTAAAAACAGCCAACCCTTAACAAAGAAAAGAAGAAAAGTAAAGGAAATTCCTGATGAAAGATGGCTTCATTGTGCCTTGAGTGTGTGAAGTGCCTTAGAGGCTAACTATGATTATTTCCTAACATTGGATAGCAGTACACAGCATTGATCTTTACATAGTTTCGGGGGTTAGAATTTACTTTATACACTTGACATTATCTAGAAAGATCCATAAGAAGAATCTTGCCCGTCTGGTTTACTTGGATTGTTTACAAAAAAATAAAAAATGATGACACATGTAGTTAATTGACGAATATAAAATCAAATTATAGGTTGATGTCTATGAATTTGATAACATTCAATATCCAATATTCGTCCCCAATTTAAAAACATTGTAGTTCTCTCTTAAGTTAGAACATACAACAACCTAAGAAGGACATAGCAATATGAGAAACAACCAAAGGTTGCATTTAGGTTCAACGAGGTTGAAAAAAAGTGGGAGTAAAAACATGCATTATTTATATCAGACAGCTACTCCCGTGCTCAATAAAATACCTGTAAGGAATGTTCAGATCTCTAAGGTTTACTTAATACTTGTCCGGTTTACTCCCGTGCTCATTATCTAAGGAATGTTTTAGATTTATCATTCATTGAAGTGCACTTCAAATCTTAAAATGAGAAAGGAATAAAAAATTTGGTGCAGAAAAAATTGAATGAAATATCATTAGTGGGACTTCACCAAATAAAAATGACAGCATCCACAAATACCCAGGCATATTTCTGCACATCCTTCTCGTCTAAGATATGCTGGAGAGAGTAGAGAGCATGTTACAGTTAGATAATTTGGATATTTTTATCTGATTAGCAAAATTGATCCACTTTTCCTCACGTGAAACAGTAATGATTATTTCAATATTTCTTGATTGCTACGTATGAGAACTTGGCTATATTTCACAAAGTACTATGCATTTAAACGTCATTACCTTTTTGGAATAGATGATGGATACGTTCCAAGTAGATAAGGAAACATTTGTGGTGTGTGCGCGTGTGTTGGGTTGTTTGGGGGGATGTTAAGTGATGCTTGGCCACTTCAACCATCAATTACAGCTATTGGACGAAATTCAAAACTGAAGTTTTCAGATATTTTCAATGTGTAAAATCCATGTACTTGATGTAAAGCTACCATGTAAATTACTAGAACACGAGACATACTGTAGAGTGCATATTAGATTTGAAAACATTCATACAAGAAACTACCGACCTAATACACAGCCGAAATAATTAATTTGATATTTATGCAAGAAAAATAATAAAAAATAATTTAAGTAAGACCTTACGAAAGCGTAAGCGGCATAATATGGCTTTACAAAATCCTTCTTCACACTTCAGATTAGATTGTAGTGGTTCCACATCTGCACAAACAAGTTCATAAGATCATTGTAGACTATAAATTCAAATGTGTGAACGACATAACAAAATTGAGTAAAAAAAGGAAAGTAATCCAGGCAAAGGTCCTAGGACCCAACTGACAGGTTTTTCCTTGCTAATTCATATCGAAATTCACAGATGACCATACAAATAAAAATGGAATGCAGAAATAAAATGTGCTATTTATAGGTTTGCTGAACTAAAATATCCACCTAAACGTAAGTAATGAACTACAGGGGAACATTAAAATATATAAATGTATTGATGAGTAAAATATCTATCTAAACGTAAGTAATAACTACAGGCGAACATTAAAATATATAAATGTATATTGATGAGTTCGACGTGATATCTGTCAAGGAGACGACAAAATCATGAGTGCAGTAGACAAATGGATCAAGAATACAAAAATGTCCCATCACTTCCATGCAGAATACAAGCTATAACTAAGATGATTTACATCATAGAATAAAAAACTGAGTCCATAGTTATTTCTTATATCATCAAAGCAAACCCAATCTTTTAGTTGTTTTAATATAAACCCAGTCCTAGTAATTCTGACAGACAATGTAATTAACAGAAATAATACCTAAAAAGTAGGGCCAACTATTTTTTTCAATATAATAATTTGGCTTGTCACGTGTACAATTACCGATTAAAGCCTGGAGTCCGGCAGGTAGATAGGTGGTTCTCTCATGTTTTCAATAAAATACATGTAGGAGATACTAAGAAACAGATAAGTTGTGTAAACCATGAGCTACCAGGCATCTCGCAAGAACTTTTCCCCTTCCCAATTTCCCAATTGATTTTGTCATGCTTGGACACCTTTTACAAGAGACGTTAATTTGTTCTCGGTTTATGATACATAAGGAGAAACAGCAGAAACAAAGATGTCCTAGATGTACTAAATTTCTAATAATCAAGTTCAAGTGTCATTGAGTCAATTATGAAATTACATGTGATAATTTCAAGAAAACAACATCAAATGCCGTACGAAACAACTTATCTGCAGAAAAGTTAGCTTCAATAAACCATGCTGAATTAGGTTTGTACGTGAATGCAAGATGTGTACCTTCTACAACTCTCTTTCCAGACAATGGTGCTTTACAAGCCTTTAGTTTCCTAGAAACTGTTTCTTCCACAGCATGTAGTATCGACAAGCATTTTTCATCTCCATCAATCTTTAGTGGTAGACCATAAGCCATAACGAAAAGATCTTCTTCCTGTACAACCATGCGTTGTTAGTCAAAGTATATATGGCCAATAGAAGATACTTCAAACGGCAAAAAAGAAATATATGATGCAAGGAATAAAAGTATGGTTTTAGAATTCAGAATGCATCAAAAGGGTTTTTAATGTGATTTTCCAGTAAACTCAGAGTCCAGGTGGTCGTAAGAAGCCAAGAATAACAAACCATGAAAATAACAATGAACTGGGCCTCGGATTGTTTTAACACATAGACACCATAGTCAATGGCAGCTCTCATTAGTGACCACAAGTATTACACCATCCGTTGCACAAAAGATAAAACATCAACCTTGAAGTAGAAAGCTCACAAGCTAGACGGTATCTATCAACTAAAACTGCTGTCTTCAACAAATATACACGCATGTGTGTTTCTGTTTGTGTGTGTGTGTGTGTAAAATATACATTTGTGTGTGTAAGGTTACTGCAAATATGGGCACCCAATGCTAATATCAAATCATAGCCAACACAATCTCGGAGGGGACTCTTTGTGAACAGTGATAACCACCAATTTATTGCTCAACAGAAACCAACATAGTCTAAGGAAATTTGTGAAACTAGAAATGTGGGAAATCTAGACATGAAAGCAAATGAATCCAAGTAATTTATATTGCTGTTAGTAGCATTTGATTTCACAGAAGTTAATAACATAATGGAAAAATTGCCACTCAATGTATGAGCAAGTAAAAGGTGACTAGTATATATTCTTTAAAATAGGAAAATATTGGCACACACTATATGGGTGTTAGTGCTTTTCTTTAGAAAGGCATGTCACAAATTCCATTTCCCATATATAATTTTCTCTAAAGATGTGCTTAGAAGTAATGACCAGTCTATGATACTGTTGGCACAACTCTAATCTCTCAGAAAAACGAAATAAAAAAGAACTTAATCTCATTTGCAATGTCATCTGTGACAGCTGCTGTTCAAGAATCAACAAACTAATTTCTATGAAACAGTTTGGGTCATTCTCAGTTACACCTTTAGATGATGAGACAACAGCTATGATTTCATTCTTTATATCTCTGTAAAAGTATATGTTGAAGTGCTTCTTCCAAAGCATACTAACAATTACTACGTAAGATACTGTCACATTTCATTTCATCTAAATGAAAAGGGTGAGATTCATTGGAAGTACATTACTTCATTTGCGCGTGTATCTGCAACAACTGAAAGAACGGCATTGCAAGTCGCACGAATAACTTGGCAGAAACAATGTAGCAGAGCATGAGATGATGTTCTATCAGGCTTCAAAAGGTAAACGCAAGAAAAAACTGTTTGAGCTAATGACCCTCCTTTATGCCATGTCGCCTGCATTAGAAATAACAAACAAGTTAGAAAGGGCTTTCTTTTACCTCCAAGGGTTACAACTAAGATGCTATCAGAAGGTTATACTGGGAATACCTCACAAGCTAGCAGATGATCCATTACATCAATAACGCGTTGAGTATCTACTGTTCTATCGAAGCTCAATGGAACAGGAGCAGCACCATTATCAATGGCTTCCTCAACAGAGTAATAAGTGGTAACAATACCTGAATCCATCTTTGGGTCCATTATCTAGTTAAGATGGATAAATTTCCTCAGTAAAAGCATGGAGGCAGAATTAATGAGGAAAAGCTATAAAGAATGATTTATATGGTTGTGTCAAAGCGTGCATAGCATAGTGGTTCTAATGTACATACTTCCTGCAATCATACATGTATTGAGAGAAGAAACATTGACAAAATAGGTTTCATTGACCATCAAATTCACATGCAGAGAAGTGCAACATATAAAACTCACATGAAGGTTGAATAGAAATGACTAAAACATTGGCTATTTTTCTTTTTATATAAAAAGAATGTAAATAAATAGATAAACAAATGAAGCACAAATAAAATACTTAGTTACTAGTACATGAGAAAACTCTTTTAGGGGAAAAATAAAAGGAAGAACTAACAATAAGGAGGCTATTTTATTTATATTCAATAACTTACATGTATAGTCAAGCTCGGCATTTTATTCACCTAATAATGGACAACTATTAACACATTAATTTTCGTTCACCTAAACTCTAGTTGATCTTCACCTTGTCGTATTTGCAGAGCAGCATAAAATTTGATACACGTCTCTCAACAGAAAAACAGCATTACCTCTAAAGCAGACATGGCCGAGAAGAGATTAAAATTCTCCCCAGTTATGAGCTCATCATTTCGAAGATCTGTGAAAATTTGCATTAAAAGAATTATTTACCCTATTGTGCTCTATATAAGAAACAACAGCAGACGGGATACTTACTAAAATCGGAATTTAAGTCTAGCATGAAAGGAAGCTGCATCCGCATTTTCACAGCACTAAAATTGAGCAAGTTACAATCTCCACTCCAAAAATGGAGAAAACAAATACTAGCCCAAATTAAGATCTATAATTTGTCTCAGTTTCAGGAAAGACCTTAATATTCTAATATAAGAGTTTGAAATGAAAGTCACACAGTACCAACTTTTTACATGCAAAGAACACTGAGATGATCTTAATTTCACAGGGAAAATATAAGAAAAAACTTGCACTATTACAAATTCCAAAACAGAATGTTCACTTAAAAAGGCAGTAGAGCCCATTTTCATGAATGTCGACATTTACTCTAACTATAAAATGGGGTCCACAGGGTGAAGCACACCATAAGAGGACGACGAGCCTAGTTGTCACCCTAGTGAGGTTCTATCGCTTGGTGATGGGAGGAGTAGTCTACCAAGCTTATAAACTAGATTCATTTACCCTATAGTCGGACAACTCGCTCCTTACTTGTAAGTCCTTCATAAGCCCAAGCCCAGAGCAGTCCGGATAGATTAAATCATCGCAGGTCATAGATCAGATACCATGTTAGATTTATAGTCGGCGGAAGAGGTGCGGTCCCACAAGGGTGGAGCGCACATAAGAGGGTGAGCATAGTTGTCACATTAATGAGGTTCGATCCCAAAACTATTTAGTGATGGGAGGAACACCCTACTAGGCTTATAAACTAGGCCCACTTACCCTATCGAATCAATGTGGAACAACTCACAAGTGATATTTCAATAGGGGTTTTACATGGAGAAAGGCATTGACATCAAGTACAATCAAACCAAGAAGATATGTTGCAGAGACTTGCAATCACTATAAACCAAAAATACATAACATATTCCCTATTGGATTAGCTTATAAATCCGCAATGATTTCTTCATGCACAAAAATAATCAAATAACATATTAGGAATTGTATGTTACATTAAAGTTGTAATCTACTTTAAGTAAAGTTGTCATTTAGTGAATAACACCTTTAGTTGTGTTTAGCACAATATATATACACACATTGTAGGTTATTGTTCACTTTCATTCTATTCAATACAGTTGTAACTCTTTTCTCTCTTCATCTCTATTCTCTTTGTTCATGTGATCTTGAATAGATTATGAATCTTATCGTGAGATGAGATATATATTTATAGTGCATGTAACTTCAAATGATGTGTATTGTGTCATTGGTTAAAACTAAAAGTATCAATTTACGTAGTTGAAAGATGTAGCCACTTTGACTTAACATCCTAGCTCTCTTTTAAAATGTTCTAATGAAGCTAGCTCATGCCTCACGGGAACGAACACTGGCTTGCCAAGATTCGGCAAAAGAGAAGACTCCTCACTAACAAATAATTTGGGCTCAAAGAGTGTATTCCGTACTTAGAGCCACGGGCTGTTTGCACCACCCCGCTAAAGGGGCGGTTTATGGTGGGATTTTTTACGCCCGTCAGGGTCCTGACCGGGCCACGTGCCAAGGCGGGGCTGGGCAGGCCGTGGGCTAGTCGCCCTAATTAAAAATAATAATTTAACTAATATCTCTCTTAAGTTTTACCTCATAAGAGAAAGCCGGACTACAAATTGTGCCCACACACAACTCATCTTATATGAAGAAAGAAAAAAACCTATCTCTCATCTCTCACCCAGTGAGCCGTGATCATACCACAGCAGCAGTCGGTATAGCCCCATTGTCACTGGCCACTATCCCCACGATGCTCCTTGGCGAACCTCAAGTCCCGGCGATCTTATCCAAATCACAGCAAATTTCATCTCAAGACACCAGCGGAACCCGAAAGTTTTCCCACGAACTCTCGAACCACAGCGGACTCGGCACTAGGGAAATCAAAACGTGGCATCAGTTCTTAACTCCCACCCCCAACCCCCCAGCTTCAATTCTTTACTTGGCTGCAAATGGGTGCAATTATTTTCTAAACCCTAATGAAATTTACTAAGTTAAATTTGTACTTTGTGAAACATTTTGAGGTGGGCCTCCATTTTTTTAAATTCAGCAAAACTCGATTTTCAAACATTCTGAATTGGGCTTTGTTAAACATTCTGAGTTGGACCTAAAATTCCTGTTTCCCTGAATTTAATTGCTTTAATGAGTTGATGAATCCATTCAACTTGTAATTTAGACTCTTAATTTAGTCTGTTAGCATTATTTTTTTTTTTAGATTTTTCCTACCAACCATATCATATATTCTTCAATTTCGTATCTCAGATTTTTTATACTGGGCAGACCAGGCTCCCCCAATCCACGGCCCGTAACAGGGAAGGGTCGGGCTGCCATTTCCTGGAAGGCCAGTACATCCCACCAAACGGCGGGCGGAATATTGGCCTAATCACCCCGTTAGCCCATTTTGACAGCTCTATCCGTACTCCATAGTACTAATATTGAAGCAGCTACGATCAATCAAATATTAAAAAGTACCACACCTCAATAGGTTTGAAACAATTTGGGTCAAAGAAGCCAAGGAAGATGGCATAAGTTAAATAGGTAGCTGTCATAAGAAACAAATCACTGCATAGCAGTATAGTATAGAGTCAATGGTCCACCATTTGCACCCTGTGAAATGAAAAAAAATTGGTAGATAACTTTTGACAAACACAAAAGGTGCGTGTGGCACCTGGCCTAAACAACCATTACATCATAGTTACATAATAACTACACTGCTTACAGCAGCAACTTCCTGAATTTTCAGCCAGAATAAGCATACATCCACTACCACTGCACATAGTCATGCCCACATGACCTCACTATACAAGCGTATTCAGTTGTTGGAAAGGTATGCTATTCAATACTACATTGATGACTGATCACACCATATCTATCCAAATGTCACTCATTATATCCTGTATTACCTCTAATTTAAGAAAAAATAGGCCACCAAGAGACTACCTAGCAGCACTAGCATGCTCTGTGTAAGGCTTTGATAAGACCTGCCTCTCAACACCGGAATGGCCATGATAATAAGATATGGAAGTGTCATCACGTTGTTTAGATAGTTTAAGGACCAATGTTTACTACAATTCCTGCCCATAGAGGGGAAAAAAATAAAAAGAATAAAACCTACAATATAATGAAGGAGATGAAACTATATGGAGAGTTGAGTATTTAGGTTGCACTGGAATGCTAGAAGAAAATGGAAAATATGTTGTTGCACGCAACACTAGATAATATGATATTAAACAAGCTATTTGTGTATTTGTAAGCTTTCATACCTGCAATAGTAATATACCATAAGGTATATGATATTATGATCATACTAATAACATGATAGGTTAACCAATCAGTAGCAGTTCTTGAAATCAGAAAACCAAGTATTCATTAAAATAATTTAGCTGCTTTATTCCACAATAAAATTGTAATTATTTCTCGTTTCCTATTTCTCAGGCAAAGTTAACTGGGTTCTTCAGAGCAACTGCTGCAACTCAGTCTAAAGTAAGCTACACAAGGCATTAACTTTATACCTTAAAGTGCAACTCTATCATCTAATTACCTGAGAATCCAGATGTTAGTAAGGATGGGCTAAAATCAGCACCAAGTTCTTATGAATGCTACATTTCAATCATTCAAGGACACAAGGGCTATACATAATCATATATCATATCAAAACAGTCACTTGCACTGTTAAGCCTTCACAGAAACCTATAAATTTTTTATTTATATTCAGCTAACTACCTCTCTCCAATAAAGACAGCTCTCCCCTGGTCACATAACAAACTCCAAAAGTTGAGCAATACAAGCAAAGAGGACAACAAACCAGAAACTCTGATGATGCATACTAACCCATTCGTGCCTCCAAGAAACCCCGTGTTTTGTTTCACCTCCAAAGGTCCATTTTCCATTTTCACAAAATATAAAAGTTCAGTTATATTGTTTAAGAAAACTCGAATGCAACTCAGAAGATTCTCTTGTCATCTTCGCATAGTAAAGCTTTTAAATCCTCATATTCAAATTATCCAACCCAATACATTACCCCCTTCTTGCTCCTTATGAAGACACTGTTCGTTCACAAAGCCGTCTCACAGAAAAAAATAAATAAATAAATCCCCAGGCATAGATTATCAAAACCTCACTCAACAACAAAATCATGTAATTCTCAATTCATTCAACGTATTGACTAGATAAAATGGAAAAGACACAAAATGGTCGCAATTAGAGCAAGGGAGACGGAAAATGACCATCACAAGCGTGCTGGAGGAGAGACGAAACATCCGCCCAAACATTGTCGTTGCCGGAGGGGATTGACGGACTTGGTTGAACTTTCACATTTACCCCTCCCTCAACCTCACTCTTGTCCGCCATCATGCTAACCTCCTTCAGTATGCGCTGCGCTTGCGCTGAGAATTTTGCAGGGTTTGATTTGTTTCCCAGTTTCAATCACAATCAGTCCGCAAAAACTGTGCGTGGTCAATGTAGAGTTTGTTTCCTTCACAAATTTGAAAGCATTGGGCTTTGGGTTTGGGGTGAGACTAAGGGGGTGTATTGAATTAGGCTAAGAATATCTCCAACCGAATACACCAAACTCAAACTGAGTATCTCCAGCCGAATACACTCAAACTCATTTTGTAGTACACATCCTATTTTGCAGTAATTCATCTCTAACCGAAAACTCATTTTCCAACTCAAAAGAATATTCTCTGAATATTTTCTTTTACATCAACTTTTACAATTTTTCAATACTACCCACATATTTTACAACTTTACAGATTTAACCATACTTTTATTTTAAATTCAATTTCAGCACTTGTTATTTAAATGTTTTTCTATAAATCGTAATGTATCACGTATTATTGTTATTTCAATCTATATTAATAGTGTTGTTGTTATTTAATGTTAGTGTTTTTTTTCTTGTTAAATAAAAATACCATAAATAATATGTATATTTTGCATTATTATTGTGAAATATATAAAATTAAATGATAACTATAATATTTATTACTTTAAATATTATACTATATAATTTGTATGAAATAATTTCTTTTATTATTTTACATTATTATTGTGAAAAAGTTAACATTAATATGTATAAAGCCATCTCCAGCCCTTATCTTTACTCTAGTGCGGACTTTACTCTACTCTAGAGTAGAGTTGAACATTCATCTCCAGCCCTTATCTCTACATTTTACTCTACATTAAATATATTATTTTTTATTCATTTTTTATTTCAAATAATAAATTGGTATATATGTATATTTAATCTTATATAAAATGTTAATTACTCAAATAATAAAAATATATTTTATTTATTTTTATTTAACATAATTTGCTATATATGAATATGTTATGTTATATAAATGTTTATTACCCCAATAGTAATTATAAAATTATGTATTCACATTTTAGAAAATGATTTAGGGCATATATAGTCTAGACCATATATGGTTTAGGGCATATATTTACAGTCTAGATTTTCTTAGTGAATATATGCCCTAAACCATATATGCCCTAAACCATATATGGTCTAGATTGTAAATATGAAATTAACTTGTAAATATGCTCTAACTACTCTATTATGAACAAATATAAAATAATATCATATTAATTATATTAAATATCATATTATATAATTTTCACGAAATTGGAGAAATAAATAAAATTATAACGTTATAATCGTATATATAATAAAATTGGAGAAATAAATATGAATTAAAAATAAAATTTAAAAATTATAACATACAAGATAAAATTAAAAATTACAACACACTAATAAATAATATGTATATTTTACATTATTATTGTGAAATATATAAATTTAATGATAAATATAATATTTATTATTTTAAACTTGTTGTCAAATATGCATAATCTATAAATGTTTTAGTAATATTATAACTTTTATTGTTTATTTTATATAATGACGACAAAAATAAAACACGGTAAAATCAAATGTGGTAATACAAATAAACAATATAAATGAATTAGTATACAAATAACAACCTACAAAACAAAAAGGACCAACTTGTAATTAAAAAAAAATTGCGTTTTGAACAGTGAAAACGCAAATTTGGTGTATAAGAGGAGAGAGAGTTGGAAAAACTCATTTTGCGTTTTGCGTTTGGGTATCGATTGGGGGCAAATCACTCCATTTTTTTAGTTTTTAGTGTCGATTGGAGAATGTCTAATGACTTATTAAGATTTTCAAAATAGAGAAAATTAGGGAGCGCTTGTTTATGAATTAATTTATCCAAATCTTTGAGTTATTTCAAGTTGAATTAATTGAGTGAAATTTCATTTTAAACAACTACAACATCTAGCTATCTCGTGGGCCCACGTGTCTCCTTTGATGTAGGCATCCTCCACTTTAGTGTTATGGAACTTGTGCCCTCATTTTTATTATTTTATTGAATGCCACCGTCCAACTGCACCGTTCATTACTTTGTTCATTGTTTATTATTATTATTTTTTTTGTTTCATTCATCAGTATGTTTGAGCATTGCTTTTTTTTTTTTTCAACTGCACCGTTCGTAAAAAGTTGTGTGGATTCCTTTCTTGGTGGAGCATTACCATACCATTTGCGTTTTTTTTTATTTCATTCATCAGGATCCAAATAGCAACATTTGTTCTTGCAAAATCCGTCCACACACCAGGTCCACTCCACTCCTGTACATCGAAGCGTAGACGAAGAAGACATTATTCTCGTCGAACGAGGTACGCCCTCCCAATAGCAACATTTTTCTTACATACTAGTAATCCCCCGTGCGATGCACGGGAAAATTATAATTTATGTGCTTTTTCGAAGGTAATTTGTATATAGCCATAATAAAATTGAAAAGACATGGCTGCTAATAATAATAATAATAATAATGATAATAATAATAATCAACTATAATAACATTTGTTTAATCTATATATATATAATTACTAGCATGTAGCATTTAATAAAACCTATTTAATAAAACTTCTAAAATTTTCCCTCCATTTTCGGTTACAAAATTTGTCATTAATATTTTTTATTTCTCACATTAATACATCTTAAAGAGTGTAATAATGTGGGTTTCTATTATAATATATAATAGTTATTGTTAATACCAACTAATAATAATTCACAATAAATTATAAATTACATAATTATAAACAATTGTTTCAAGTTATGTATTTGAACATCAATATTATCTTTTTTTTTTGTATTTCATGAAAAAAATTCTTTAAAAACAATTAGTAAATTGTTTTAATAGCATAATTAAACAACTTTAGAATCTTATAAATAATTGTTTTTAATAATAATATATATATATATATATAATTGCTTGCTTAGCATTTAATTTCACCTATTTAATAAAACCTCTAAAATTTTTCCTCTGTTTTCAGTTACAAAATTTATCATTATTTTTTTATTTTAGTTCTCACATTAACACATCATATTAAGTGTAATCATGTATTTTTCTATTATATTATATAATACTGATTGCTAATACCAACTAATACTAATTCACAATAAATATAAATTACATAATTATAAACAATTGTTTCAAGTTATTTATATTAACATCAATACTATCTTTTTCTTTTGTATTTCATGAAAAAATTTCTTTAAAAACAATTAGTAAATTGTTTTAATAGCATAATCAAACAACTTTAGAAGCTTATAAATAATTTTTTGTTAATAATAATAATAATAATAATAATTAAATTGTTATTATCTAATGATAATAAACAATTAATCATAATAATAAAATCGTTAATTTATTTGTTCTTAATGATCAAATTTTTGAAAATGTAATATGTCCATTATCTAGAATTTTAATATTAAATTCTCAAATATTACGTACTAATATTTTATGTACATCTGTGCACATGCACAGGATATCTACTAGTTGGATATAAAATGAAAGAAATGCTATAGGTACATAATATTGTACATACGGGCGTAAATAGCACTCATATTGAGTGAGACCCACCAAAAATAAAAAATCAAGTGGGCCCCATTCCATATGAGTATTATGTACACCTATATGTACATTTATTATATACTGGTAGCATTTTCCATAAAATATATCAAGTATTGGACTATGTTGCATAACATCGACACTAATTAAACAAAGATTATGCCATAAGTTCAGATTTTCAGGATTTTCATTTCATTTTTTCCTCTCCTTCCCCGACCAATTCTCTATGTCGTGTCGGTCGTCTCTTTATTTTTTTTTAATTTTTTTTTACCTGCAAAAAATGAATGTTTTTAAACAAATCGATCACATATATTGTGATTCGTACATTTATGTTTGGAATAATTTAAAATAAGAATTTGAACAAATTGTGTTTTGATTATAAGATAAGTCCAAATAATTTGAAAAATAATTAATTAGTTAAGTCGTTAAGATTTTTTATCCGTCTAGAAAGATGACCAATTAGTACACATGTGTCATACTTAAACGTCATTTTAAGTTTTTTGAATAATTGTGATTTGATGATAAGATAAGTTAAAATGATTTAGATAATTAATCAATTGATTGAGTTGTTTAGATTTTATAACGTGTTTTAACTTGCCCATTACACGTGTTTCCTCATTAACTCAATTTCCGTTAGTACTATAACATGATAAACTATTGTTGATAAACGGATTTGATCAACTTATTTATATTAATGATTATTGGATTAATAGCGTGATGAGACGATTTTATTGAATAATTGAGAATTATTTAGGAAAATATCAAGTCGGTATTTCGCGAGTTTGAGGTCGGTTTTTCTTATACAATGAAGCTAAAATTGGCAATAGCCGAGGTGATTAATGCAGAATTTATGTGTCGGGAAAAAAGATCCTCGTATTGCCTTTATTGCTGCTATTTATAGTAACTGGGGGCTCATCTTTTGAGGAGATTCGGCGGCATTTAATGAGGAATGACATCTGCGCAGCTTTTTCTGTCTGTGGGGCCCCCTCGCGCAATGATGTCTCCACATGAGCTCTGAACAGTTGATGGTACCCGCATTAAATGTTGCTTGTTTGCTCCGACGTCGGCCTGCACCCGAGGTTGCCTCATGTAGGAGGTCGGCTTCCCGACAAGGTCGGCTGTCTAAATGAGGTCGGCCACCACAGGTCGGGTTACGCTTTTTTGGCACTTTTGGGGCGTAATCCCTTTACTTCCTCTCCATCCACGTGTCAGCCATCCAACGCTAAGGTAGATTTTTAGGTCAACAACTATATTATTATATTATTTAATGTAAAATATTAAGGACCCTTATACTAATTATGTTGTTTAAACTTGCTTCAATTAGGATAACTGAGGTAATGTACACGTCTTGTTTAAATTATGATAATATAAGTGTACATGAACTGTATTATAAATTATTAGTTTATTTGTTTAGAAGTT